AATTGATTTTATTAGAATTTACAATGATAAATTAATAAATTAAAATTAATTTTCGGGTCATTTCGGGTCGACCCGCCAACCCGTCAACCCAAATTTTTCGGGTTCGTGTCAGATATACTGACCCGTCACGGGTTGACGGGTCGGGTCAAGTCCCGACCCGCCAACCTGATTAGACCCGAATTGCCACCCTTACAGGAAACAGATGAGAATGACATAGTAAAACTTCAATCTTCAATTATAGTTAACTATAATAATGAGACGGTGCAATTGAAAAGTTAATCAATATTGTGTATCTTGAATTTAAAGATCCTTCAAAGAAACTGCATTGCTCACAAAATAGAGCAATTCTAACTACAAAGAATAACTTTGTAGATGAAATAAATGATAAATTGATCAAAAAATTTTCAGGAGATTTGGCTGAGTACCTAAGCTATGATGAAACACTGAATGAAAATCATCAATCTGAATACATTGATCTTCTGAACACTCTTACACCTAGCAATTTACCTCCACATAGGTTACTGTTAAAATTCAATGCCCCAATAATTCTTTTAAGAAATCTCGATCCTGCTGATGGATTATGCAATGGAACTAGACTGATAATAAAGAGTTTGATCAAGAATGTTATTTGTGCTAAAATTGCAGTTGGTGATTTTTGTGGCAAAGAAGTTTTTATACATAGAATTTCCATGCAGCCACCAAGTGATGAACAATATCCAGTTCCATATAAGAGAACACAATTTTCAATTCGTTTGTGCTTTGCGATGACAATAAATAAAGCACAAGGCCAAACTTTAGATTTTGTTGGTGTATATTTGAAAGAACCGGTGTTTTCACATGGCCAATTATATGTTGCACTTTCAAGAGTCAAAACAGCTTCGGCTGTAAAAGTCCTTATCAGGCCAACTTATTTTGATGAATCATGCACTGATCATACTAAAAATATAGTATATAAAGAAATTCTTAAAGCTTCCCAGATTACATTATCAGGTTTTAACATTCATGGCCTTTTTTGTTTAGAAATTTATTATTTTGTTTAATTGACTATCTGATTTCTCTACCAGTATAGGTCATCATATCTAGACCTATATCTTCAATTCTAGATATTTAGAAAGGAGCAGAAAAGTGGACTGTTCTCGCACAAGTTGTTCATAGAGGGCACAATCAACTGACTCGTGAAGTTCCACCGAGGCGAATTATGCGCTTTCTGCTCACAGATACTGAGGTATGCAAATGATTTTCTATTTCTCAGCTCATTAAATTCATCTATGAGAATATTTCAGATTTTGTATAAGTACATTTCATGATTTGTCTGTTCATTACATTTGCTTAAGGAAAAATCCTTAGTATTCATGTAACTGTATACATACTACAATATCAGAACTATAGTTTCATTGCAACTGAATACTCACCTAACTATTAAAGTATTCATATCTATAATTTTAATTTTTGTGTGATAAATATGATATTAACCATTAACATGATAGTTATGTTTTAACTCATAATATATATAAAACTAACTTTTTCTAATCCTAATCAGGGAACAAAAGTTTCTGTTGTGACTTATGAACAACACATCAAGATCTTCAGTAATTCCTGCAGCCTTATCAAAGATATTATGTTTCTAATGCAATTGTGGTTCCTGTTGACCCAACATACAGAGTTGGGAGTTATGAATGCTCCTGGATTTTGAACTACAAGACTTTGATTGAAAATTATGCTGAACCTGTGCCACCTATGCTGCCTTACATATTTGAGTTGACAAACTTCTCTGATCTGCACAAATATGCTGATTCAGATAACCTTTGCAGTAATTTTTCTTACATTATTTTTTAATTTACTTGACAGTCATTTGACATTTTATTGATTTCTTACATTCATATCAACACTTTTGTTTCAGATATTAGAGGCTTTGTCATTCACGCATTCCCAGTAAAACAGGCAGATCCAGATTGTACTTCTAGAGACATTATAATAGTGAATGAAGAGTAATCAAACCTGAATACTACCATTTTATTAAGTCATTTTAGATTAATGGCAGTAGTTACAATTTGTTTGTTATACCTGACAGGAAGAAACTCATGTTTATGACTCTCTGGAATGAATTTGAACATGATGAAGGGAGCAAAATAGCAGACATGATTAGCACTGCCCCTCTAATCATAGCTCTCCGTGTTAAAGTGACCACATTCAATAGTAAAATTTTCACTATGCATTATGATTTCTCTATTGTTTGGCTTCTTAGTATTTTATGTTATAATTACTAAACGATTTCATCATTTTTACAGCTTTGTCATTCACTACAAGGTATTCATCTGGAATTCTGATTAGTCCTCCACTCCCAGATGACTTCTCTTTCAAGCAATGGTAAGTCTACTTTTTTAAAAAAATTTTACCTTAAATTATCAATTAAATTTATTGGTACATTTTTAATTTGTGTTCTAAACATAATCATTCAGGTTTACTTTGAATAAGGAAGAAATCCAAAATTTGCTTAATGCTAAAACATACAGTGATGCTAACTGTTTCCTTCCTCCTCCAAATGAAGAGGATATCAAAGCAATCAGCACTTTTCAAGCATCATTTCCAATTGTAAGAGCTATTTGTTATTTTAAAATTCTGCTTAAATATAACTTTTTTGTCTCTAATTGACATTCAAATACCATTCTTGGTTGCTTGACTCAGCAAAAGGCAGCTTGGGTGCAAGGAACTGTCAAACTTGCATATGGATTCACCAAATATTGGACTACTGCTTGTGTGAATTGTCACAAAATTGTGAATGCTGACATTGACTGGATCATTCATTGTCCTTCATGTAAACAACAAAGTGAAGTTGAACTGAGGTTAGACCATAAACTTATGCTTCTAAATTAAACATTCTTCGCATTTATTACCATATATTAATCTTAATTCCTTCACTTGACTAAAGGGCTCGCATTCCAATTATAATAACTGATCCTTCGAGCTCAATACATTGCATTATATCTGGAGAAGATGCTGAAAAAATGATTGAGTTCACTCCACTGCAACTAAAGCAAGCACAGGAAGATGTAAGTACAAATTTCCTGTCTTATATTCAGCCATAAATACAAATATACATAGACAAGAATTCACAGAACCTAACTTCAAAATTTTTCTGCTGTAGGGCTTTGGAATAGATACTGAACTTAATGATGCCTTGAAAAAATACACAGTTGTCTGTTTTCTGAAATCCTATGAGACTCCCTTCCAAGGTCAATTGCAGAGAAAGAATACTGTTCTCAGGGCTTACACTGCAGCTGAACTATCGCACCATCCCCTTCCACTGGCACTTCTAGAAAACACTCAAGTTACTTCTGCACTTGGCAGTTCATCAGCAAGGCATCCAGAAAAATCATCAAAGGATCAGATGTTCACACCAACGACAAAGTTGGTACTTGAAGAAATTGCTGGAGCCAGTTCTTACAAAGAAGGGCAGACGTCTACAACCAGTGGAGCAAAAAGAAGCCTTGACTTTCCAGAATATTTACCAGCAGACACACTTCCTGAACATGCAACAAAGACTGCTGAACAGTTTGCCAAAGAACCTGCAAAATCATATAGCCCACCTGGCAATATGAAGGATAGTCCAGCAAAGGAAGATTGATATGGTCTAATTCTGTACTTTTGTTATATCTTTTGTTCATTGCCTTGATGACTGTCTTGATTGCTTAGACAATGCCTTTTGAATTATATTATGATCCATTATTCTTTTGACTTAAAAAGTAATGGATCCTAATATATCTATGAATGGTTTAACCATCAATGTTGTAATTCAATAGGCAATGAAGCTTATTTAAACCCCCTAATATGTAACTGTGGCTTGAACTGAAGTGTGTGTTCTGCTAAGACATGAATGATTGAGTTTATGTAATCTATGGTTGTGATTTGCATATTCATTATTTACCTCTTCATTTTTCAGTTGGTCATATAGGTCTCGATTGCCCAACTGTGATTGAGTTGTTGTGATAAATATGATATTAGTTGATCATATCAGTGGGTAGGCCGCTGCATAGCACGGCCAGAACCATGCTAGTATATATATATATACACACACACATATGTATAGGCACATATATTTAAACTCCGATTAATCTTCCATTCGTCTTCCCTTCCCCATCTCTCTCTCTCTCGGAATCAGAATTCAGACAGCAGAGAGAAGCAATTATGGTTAATCATCAAAGAAAGGTAAATTGGGGTACAAATTTCTTGTAATTTGCAAATTTAATCTCTTATTATATATTAGAAAGTAGAAGTAGGAGCAGGAGTAGTTAATTTTGGTGGTCATTATCAATTAAAGGCAATTAGTAAGCGTCACTGTTGTGCTTTTCGTTGGGTAGCACAAATCAGCCCTTTTCGTTGCCGATAACAAATCCGGCCGGGAAGCTTCATATGCTTGCAGTTGCCGTTGTCCCATTTTTTTTTTCTCACCGACGGCTTTTGCACTAATAAGCTTCTATATTTGACTAAATTGTTGTTCTTCATCAATCCTTTTTCCCAATGATTATATATTTGGATTTTGTTTTTTGTTTTGTTTTCCTTTTATTTTATTAGCTCCTGCATCTCTCTCACTGCATTTGGATTGAGGGAGGGATATGACGAGATTTGTGAAATAGTCTCTTTTCTAGGTAGATGCATCTGGATCGAGGAATCGAACCAAACAATAGAAATCCTCCTTTGGAATTTGGAATTGTAATCTATCAATTATTTCTGTATTTAAGGAGATTTAATAATTAGTACTTGATAACAAGTCTAAATATTATATACCAAGTAAATTGAGAAAATTTTAAACACTTGATCAAATCCCTCCAACCCCTGCAGTTCATCACCAAAATTTTTCATCATGCTAAAGCCCACCTCTTTAAACTTTAAAAAACAAAAAAAAAAGCTTCAAATTGTTTAATCGGAGGATGAAATCTACTTAACTAGACAAGATGAAAGATTGCACCCAAAAAAGAAAAAAAAAGGGGCTACATAATCTGAGTAAAGCCATAGTACCCTAAGCAAATCCTTTATTTGCAATGTCGTCAAGATTAACTAAAAACTAATACAAGATTGGATAATTAATTATGCATGAATGACAAATCAAATTCATCCCATGCTTGAAAGTACGAGAAAAAGCAGCAGGGCTGTGACTGCAGACGCTCCAAGAGGGGCTCCCACGCCAACAGCGGCATTCTTGGAAGGACCGCTGGCTGTGGAGTTGGTCTTTGAAGAGCCTAAGTAGTAAACCAAAAATAGAATCAGAAAAATATTTTTTTTGTTATACTTTTCTATCTCATTAATTTTTTAGAGCTAAAATTCAGAACTAATGCACCAAAAAAAAAAAAAAACTAAACTAAACTAATGACTCACTGTTAGATGTCGATGGTGGTGGTGATGAAGCAGTTGGAGGTACACCCGCTGTGGTTAAAAGGAAAAAAAAAAAAAAAAAAAAAAGACAGTGGTGAAAAAAGTCACAGTAATATTTAGAGAAATGCATATTAAAAAATAATAATAATAACTATTATTAAACACTAGAAGGGTTGTGATTTTTAATTTTGCAAATAACAAGAACTACCAAAAGTGCCTGCTTGAAACTCTGAATTCATCTTTATCATGAAATAAATTTCATAGACAAAACTATCCTTTTTTATTCTGTTTGATTCTGCAAAGAAGGAAGATTTTCAAAGGAAATGTTCAATTGAATCTGGTGTCAGTACATTTTCTCCACTCAATTCAAGGAAGAATAGAATTCCCTTTGATCCATGAATTTTTCTTTAAAAGGTTATAGTAATTTCATAGACATTTATATATGTTTCTGTTAAAAAAAAAAAATAGAAGACTATTTGATTTGTCAAAAATACCAGGACCAGAACTTGCATGGATATTTCGACAGCGCAAGAACTACACTTAAAAAGGGCTAAATAAACCTTCGGATAATTACTCTATAAGGACTTCTAAGGCCGCAATATATTACTCTTTCCAGTTTTAACTTACTGCTTTTGATGCGAAATTTTCTTTCGCTGTTCATTTTCTTAGACCAAATTCACGATCTATACTCCTCCAGTCATAATCAAATTAAGAGATCATTATATATATATAACAAAAAAAAAGGAGGAGTCATACCAGTTTTGCAATCGGAAGGATCAGCATTTGCATTACAAGCCTTGGAAAGTTGCATGGCATCTTGCTGTGTTATATTGAGACTCTTCAAGAGTACAGGGTTGGTGAAGACTTGGCAAAGGCACTGTTTATCATTTGCTACGAGTTCCTTCAAGGGAATGCAGCATGAGGCTGGTGGATTGGATGGATCCTTCAAGTAGGGTTGGCATGGAAGCAGTTTTTGCACGCATGGCAATTGAGCTCCTGAAGCCCCTGGAGTTTTCTGGGCAAAACCCACACAATACAATGAAGATATCACTAGAAAGAAAGAACATAACAACAACTTGGATGGAGCCATGGATAGAAGAAATGAGTTTTTTTCTTTTTGGTTTTGTTTTTTGAGGGGGTTGACACAAGAAAGGTTGATTGATTATGTTAGGCTAGTGTTTTTGATCAAAATGAAGGGATCGTAGATAATTGGTTTGGAGGTTTGTCAATATATATATAGTGAGGGATTCCAAGGATGTTAGGATTTTATTCCACCATGCTAGGAGGAACGGTTTTGGGAAAGCAGTTCTTGGGAAACGGTTGCAATTCTTCATCTCCTCTTGGAGAAAGAAGTTGAATTTTAAACTTGGTACAACTTTTCGGAAAGCCGTTTTCACTTTGATCTGATCAAAGATTTTTTATCCAACCGAAGGATAGGAAAGGATAATTGAAGTTTGATTAAAGGGGGTTTGAGAAATGGCTTGGAGTTGAATGGGATAAGTTAGGTTCAATATTTTTACCAGATTAAACCGACCCTAGCAGTTGGAAATAAGAAAGGTGTAAAGAGATTCAGAAAGAAAAATTCTTACAAAGAAGGTAAAAGAATCTTTTGAATTACATAATTGATCTGGAAGAGAATTTTAAAACAATAATTAAGGACATCAAATCGGGATATAATCCATTTCTGCATTCCTTTAACAACCAAAATAGGTGGGGATAAAATAAGATAAGATATTCAAAATATGCTCTGGATAAGCTTTGATCCAATATTACAAAGGGATAATTTCAAAAACCTCCCTTGAGGTTTCCAGCAATTACAGAGAGCTCTCCTCAATTTTTAAAAATTACATCTACCACCCTTGCTTTTAAGGTTTATGTAACAATATAGACCCAATGAGCTATAAATTTTCACAAATATCCTAAAATATCCTTCTTCAAAGAACACGACAAAACGAAACAAGGTTTTAATGTTTAATTTCTCGCACATACTCACTAAAACAAACAATAAAATCCACGGTCTGCATCTTGTTAATTTGATAACTTTAATTGGCTAACATTTGTAAAGAGTAAAACTATTGGGGAAAAAAAAAAGAAAGGGTCTACAATTTTTATAAAATGAAAGAGACAGGAAGACAAAAAATATAGATAAATTTTAGAGATAGTAAAAAATTGATAGTGGTGTGGTTGGTAATAATGGAGCATGATATTTGATAAGAGGAAGAAGCGGTTGTAGGAGAAAAAGAGAGAAAAATATGAAAGAGGGAGGGAGAAAGAGAAGAAAATTAGAAAATTGATGTAAATTGTTTTTTGAAATTAGCAAATGACAAATAGAATAATAAAAAGTATTTTTGACTTTAAATGTCCCTTTATGAATTAATTATTAAGTGGAGGACATTTTAGTCATTTGATTGGTCCAAGGGAGGTCTATGTAACTATTGAAACCTCAGGAGGAGAGTGAAATTGTCAAAAACCTCAAGGGAGGTTTCTGAAATTATCCCTATTACAAATTAACAATCTGGATGCAGCGTTTCGCATTTGCTATTTGAGATTCGAAGAAGAAGAGTGGCTAATCACGCTTTCTTTCAACAACTTTTAGGGTCTGTTTGATAACATAAAAAAGTGCTGAATCTGAATTTTTTCAGACATTCAGATGTTTTGAGTGTTTGATAAATGAAAATCCATTTGCTGAACTTGTTAAGTAGTGCTAAACTTGTGTGTATTTTTTTCAGCACAAGAATTCTAACTGAATGCTTAATTCTGATAGAAATCAATAGAATTACTTCAATTACCTTATCTTATCTACCAAATCTACCCTTGTTTGTTAATTATATTCAAAATTCTTATCTAATTAAACAATCTAATATTCTCTATCTAATGATTTTCTATTTCTTTTTTCTCCCTTTTGAATGATTTTCACATCTTTTCCATACTCCTCATATAATATATTTCATCTTTTATATTAATTTGATTTAAAAATAAATATTGTCATTTTCATACCTAACATTTTTAGCTAATTAAATCATATGTTCTATTTTTTTTTGGATGAAAAGATATAAGGGCAAATTTGTCAAATTTAACTTATTAAGCATTCAGTTATAAATGTTTATCAAACAGTATAAATATGTTTAACATTAAAATTCAGACATTCATATATTTTTTTTCAGTACTTAAAATTCAGCAAATTAATTGTTTCAGTATTCAGATTTCAGAATTCAGACTTCAGAATTCAGATTCAGTTTTATCAAACGGAACCTTAGTATTAATTTACCATATCTAAATTGTTAAGATAGAGCCTTCAAGAAGCATATTTATTATTGAGTATCCTTTTTTTTCTTTTTTTTTTGAATCTGATTTGAACTATCTCTTTCGTTTTGGTGCCTCTGATTTGAAAATCCCATTTAGCCTACACGCATATATGCAATCTGTTTTTACTCCAACCAAAAAAAAAAAAAAAAAAAAGTTAAGATTACGGATACAACTTTTTTCCATGTCTAACAAATTGGCAGGAATTCATCAAAGACCAAACATGTGACAAGAGAGTTCAGCAGATTATACGCGCGCGTCTTGTCCACATTTGTGGCCTATAAGGACAGAATGTTTGCCAACACATAGCTAATGTATTGAAGTTTCTATTCTATCAATTAGACCTATCTGCCAAAGAATATTCTATTAACAACATCAACTGGCAAGGCATAAGCCGGATCAATAGCTTTTAGTCCAGGATACTCAAGAAGTGAAAGACCTGCCAGAAAACAAAAAGTTTTAAGAGACTGAAGCACCAGAAAATGAACCATAAAAAAGAAAGATAAATCACCTAACACTACTACCAATAGGTCAAAATTGGAACTGAAGCTAAATAGTAAGATGCAGACGCTATGCCTGAGTGGAAGTTAAGGAATTATGTAAAAGCTCATCAACATGTAAGTAATCTCACAGATAGTACTCTCACAACATATAAGAGCTCATCAAGAACATTAACTCATCTGCTGAAGCAATGAAGAATTTACTCATTTGTGAAAATATATCAAGGAATATGATGAGATTATTCCTTTTTTTCTTTTAAGGATGCTGCAATATCAACTATATTTGTGTAAGTCGAACAACAATCAAGTAAGCATTTGACAAACCCAACAAGGGGAGGGTGGGGAAAAAAGAGTTATGCAGTCGCCATTCAACACAAAAAGCTATCGTTGAGTAACAGACGATTCCTCCAAAGGTAGATGTACTAGGAAGATTTCAGATGGAACTCTTACCAGCAACTCCAAAATAGGTGTGGAAGACATCAACTGCATCCTCTGGCCGGTCTGAAATTCCTCCATTCTCCTTGTCCTATATTTTATAGAACAAAGCATAACGATATTAACTTCTGAAGGTAAAATTAAACATTAGACATCATATTAAAAATTGACAAGAAAATAATGGATTCACAAGTAACCTGACAGTCCAAGATAAATTTGATAAGCTTTTCCTTGTCAATCCAGTGAACTCTGTCAATCATGATCAAGCTGGAAAGAACCCACCAGGAGTAACAGACCTGCAATGATGCCAAAAGAAACATTAAAAAAGAAGAAGAAGAAGAAATAACCACAATATGTGTAAAGGATAGTCTTGACATTGCAAATATTAACTCACATCAGGAAGCTTCTCTGGACGACCATTTAGACCTCCAGATTTAACTTGTCGCTCACATAACCACCATCCAAGGAGATCCTTGTCAACATGGTGCAGAGAGCCAGTCACAGCAAGAGCTGCCACACAACAGAAAACTGCATAGAGAATAAACATGGAAGTTAAGTCCTTTTTCTATAACATTACGTGTGAATATCCTTCATAAAGCACAACTAGAACCCTTCTTATTGCCAAGAAGGACCTTTCAGGGCAGCTCAATGAAAACTTCAACAATATGTAAGGAAGAGTTGAGCAACAATACTGCATGCAGAAAGCTATCTCATTAACTCTTATAATCAGATAAGTCCTGGTACACCCCACAGCTCCAGATGCACACAGACATATCCAAATTTGTGAAAATGTTGATTGAAACACCTTAATTAATTTCACTAATTTGACAGTCATGGTCAGATTGAACCATTATGCAAATGTTAACTCCAAAAACGTTTTAAATCCGACTTCAATATTTAATATTGCCATATAGCTATGGTTTATCTTTCACAGGAATCATCATAATAAGCATAATAAAATGTAATATTTACTCGAGAATACGGAGAGAAAAACAGATCCCAAAGCGGAGTATATGTAGGCTATTCATGAATGAAGAGACGAGCAATGATTTAAATAAGAGATTGAGAACATACTTTGACCAGCATGAGACTCCGCACCAGGGGTGCATCCAAATCCACCATCAAGATTCTTGCAACTCACAATATAATTCACAGCTTTCTCCACATTAATCTTATCCAAGCGTTTTAACAACGCAAGAGATAATATTGCAACACAAGAGAACCTAAAGAAGTAGTAGCGATATTATATTTCCCCAAGACGGACAATGTTCAGAAAATTTTCAAAGACGAGTGAATGCATGGAAAGAGTACCTAGTATCAATCTCGCCCCACATGTCACCAGAAAAGGATCCATCATTGTTCTGCAAGCCAGCAATATCTAGCTCCAAATGTCAAGTTCATAAGCCAATGACAAAGCAAATTCACTGTTTTGAGGCCATTCTATCACTTTGAAGTTAGCCCTTCTTATATCACCCGTTACCTCATTCCCTTCAACAGAATAGTCTTTGACCCATAAAAATGCACATGGAAACAGCACCACAATCTTCACAAACATGTAGACTTACTAAAACTGAAAAAGTCCATAGTGGCGACATGCAGGTATCAGCACTGACACAAGTAATCAGTCTTCTCAAAATAGATTGCTACTTTGTCGACCTTGTCTACAAGTAATCAGTCTTTTATTAAAGTACACTAGCTAGAGCCGTTATTCCTACAATGTCAAAGGTATTAAGTTACAGTAGTACTTATAATGAGTACATGGCTAGGTGTAGAATGCACCAAATAAAGTTCATGTTAAATATACTTCTAAGACCACCTAAACATCCTAAAGAACATGTCAAAGGATACAGTTTGACACTTTATCAATGTCAAGTGCATCTATTTTGTCGAATAGAGCCAAAACTTGGATGGCACTGAGGGTATACAACAGATGTGGGTCATGTCCAATATTACCACCAAAACCACCTGTGCAATAGGCACACAGCATAAGCCAAATTTCTAAAAGTCCAATATATCAATAAATCAGCATCCTTTTGCGG